GTACGAACCCTTTGTACGAACAAAAGTAAGAGAAATTTAGGATAAAAATACGAACATGTTCTTGCATGAGGCCCAATGTCACAGCTGCTAAAACCACTTTTCTTTTTTTGACTGAAAAATGTTTCAACTTTTGCTTAGTGCTGGACAATAATCAATATAATATCTGTAAACACATTAGAATGGGTATGGCAGGCTGTTTTGACATAAAATCAGCTTCACTTAGTTCCAGAAATCTGAAATTAGTTTATGACACTAGATATTAGTAAATTAAGATATCTCTAATTACCTTCTGACTATAGTATAAAGGATGTCAGATTTATCATTAAGTTGTGTCTGCAATAAACTACTATCTGAAAAATATATTTCAGAAATAAACAATTAAATTACGATGAGTCATAAAGTAAATTTGAGATCTCGCTTTTTGTTCTAACCAGTCATAAATCCAAATAAAGATATCCTAAATGACAGTTTTTGGCAGATTTTCTTGACATTTTTACTATTCATTTCAATATCGAAATTATTGTATCGACTGAAATTAGGAGTTCTTAGTTGTATTTTTGATTAAAATTTTAGCCATATCCTCTAGCCCTACTTTTGTCAGCCTATCCTCAGGTTAAGGTTTTGAAGAGTTGCTCATAAATTGTTGCTCTAAAATCTGCTTTTACAATCTTTGAACTTGGTTTCTTCTTAACGAGTTTCTCTCCTTTGTTTCTTCCTTACACCTACAACCCCAGAAATTGAATTATTGCCTAAAATATGTCTACTGCAGTGTGTACCTTGAGCAGAAACTTATTTAGAAAATGATAAAATGGATTCAAAGTGCATAGAGTGTTACTGTTTGTTTAGTTATGGGTCTGCAGTGGCTCAGCTGTGATTTTATTTTTTAAGACTAAAATTGGTTCTAATAAGAGATACAGTACTTCTTGACTGAAACAATCTCACGTCAGTTGTTTTTAAACTCTTGCTTACAGAATCTCCTGGAGAAGTCTGCAGAGAGAGAGACTCGCCAGGAATACGCTCTGGCCATGATTCAGTGCAAGGTACTGAAGCAGCTGGAAAATCTGGAGCAGCAGAAGTACGACGATGAGGACATCACTGACGACATTAAGTTCCTGCTGGAGAGGCTGGGYGAGAGTGTCCAGGATCTCAGGTACTTCTTGGAAACCGTCTCATGAATAGCAAGCAATCTTTTTTTTTTTATTTTTAGCTGTAACTCCTTCCTCAGATGGACTTTTCCGTCGAGTCATCTRTAATTATAATAAAATGCTTATTAGGATTGAGGATATTACACAAAATCTTTGATGAGGTGCATTATGAGACTGAATGCTGCATTGATTACTTGCATGGATTCACATATTAAATCTTTCATTGTGCTCCTCTCAGATCACAGCTTCTCAYWTCAGATGGGATTAAATGAAAGTAGCTTTTGTGTTTTGCCGTGTATGAATACAATCTGCAATACTTAGTCTTTGCCCTGTTATACGTTAACCAACTTTGGATTTTTATTTTTTCCTTTAAAGCTCATTTGATGAGTACAGCTCTGAGCTGAAATCTGGCCGCCTAGAATGGAGTCCTGTGCACAAGTCAGAGAAGTTCTGGCGTGAAAACGCCGTTCGCCTGAATGAGAAGAACTACGAGCTCCTCAAGTAAGATGAAAGCTGTTTTCGAGCGACTCACAATCTTGATTTGTTGCTTCCTTGGCACGATGCAAAGGAACAATGCTGCTGCAAGTGCAGCTTGTTCAGCAGTTGAAGGACACAAACTAWACCTCACTACTGTAAATTATATTTGGATTTCTTCAATGCAAAGTGTCCTCAAAAAAATGAGTGGCTTTGATGCCTTAGCTATAACCAGAASCTGCAGTTTTTAATTTAAAAGAGTTGGCACTAAAGAATTGCACTTCATCCAGCACCTGTGTGCATACATATTTGAATTCTAACATTTTACATCTTAAAAAACTATTTTACACCTTACTGAACCATCTATATTGTTCTTAAATGGACAACTATTATAGTTGGTTTGYTGTAGACTAGCATACCTGACTTCAACTATAACAAACCTTGTCTGTTAAAAATAGTCGTGGGTTTGTATTGGACAAGCTCAAAGAACCCTTTTTTTGTTTTGTTGCTTCCTGCTTTCAGCACTCCATTGATTTTTAATCTTTGTGGTTTTGAGTTCAAGTTTCAACCCCCCCCCCCCCTCCTGTTTATATTGAAACCGAACTGTTTACTATGGTTTTATGTTACATTTATTTCTGTACTTTGGCCAAGTAAAGGCATCATTTTGTGAATCCTCAAAAGCTTGACAACATTCCTTTAAAGGGATCCATGATTAGTTGTAACATTAGACTTTATTTGATAAACATATATTTTAACTGTAAAATAAAGACTGTAAAAATATTGTAGGATGTTTAGTTTTTGTAATTTTTAAACTAAAAGTTAAAAAATACATTACACGGACGGGGCCATTTTGTTTACACACAAAGCATTCTGGGTAAATGATGACGTGGATAGGTCCTCGGTGCGAGGCTGCTAGCGAGCTATATCCACCCTGAAGGTTAATCTTGGACAATATCTGAYGATYGRCTCTTTTAAATGAAACCAGAGAGCGTTGACAGAGAGGAGAAGGTAGAAATGACTCAGCCTGTAACTGAAAATATGGATGAGGACCTCAGTTTAGCTTGTTTGTCACGCTAGCACCGAGCTAATACATATAAGGCAATATAGTGTTGGCGCTAGCGCAAAGGCTAACAGGCTAAGCTGAGGTTCTTCTTCCATGAAGCAGCTCTGTTGTCCTCCATCYATATTTTCAGTTMCAGGCTGAGTCATTTCTACCTTCTCCTCTCTGTCAACGCTCTCTGGTTTCATTTAAAAGAGTCGATCATCAGATATTGTCCAAGATTAACCTTCAGRGTGGATATAGCTCGCTCACACAGATGACCTATCCACGTTGTCATTTACCCAGAATGCTTTGTGTGTAAATAAAATGGCTCCGTCCGTGTTAAAATATATTTTTAAAAATTCACAAAACTAAACAGACTACAGTATTTTTACAGTCTTTATTTTACAGTTAACTAACTAATCGGGGATCCCTTCAAGCTCACATTGAATCAGAAGCTAAATTAAACCAGCTTGGTTAGTTTTGCTGACATTCTTATTCACAGTTTTTACATTTAAACATTTATTTTCTTGAGTTTTGCTGTAGTTTTGTTTTAATTTAAACTTTCAAGATATTGCCTTCTTTCCTTAACCTTCGATTTTTTCATTACTTCAGTTTAAAAGTATCATTAATGATGAATGATGGTCTTTGCCTAAAAGAAGTTAGAAAAAATACGTCTGTGAGAGTGAATGAAATTTGTTAGAAACTTTCTAAGCCACAAGACATWCTTATTTAAATTTGACCTTTTTGTGTGTCTTTTGATAATAGGATCTTGACGAGGCTTTTAGAAGTTTCCGATGATCCTCAGGTTATTGCAGTGGCAGCTCATGATGTTGGAGAATATGTCCGACATTATCCACGGGGTAAACGGTAAGAAAGAAATATTTCTTTAAAACTCRGTTATATCAACATCTAAAACGAATCTGCAAAATCCCTGAGATTTACATGAATAATTTATTGTAATAAACAGTAGTTGTTTTATTTGGTTTCTCATTAGTTTAAAATTTTTACAACTGCTTATTTTACAAGTTTGCACATTCGTTTTGTCTTGTACCTCTGCATATTCCATGCTTATGGATCATTTTCACAGTCGTTTTCAAATTTGTATTTCTAACTAGTAAGAAATGTGTGTAAAGCTTTGTTTTTGTGAGTTTATTTTGTTGAGAACCTCCTATACCAAGTTATCAAGACAATCCTTGTGTCAACTTCACAATAAACCTGATTCTGAGGCACTCGTAGTTTAAAAAGTCGTTTGCTTGAGTAACACTTAGTTCTGTAAAGACTCCAACAAAAATAGATGCATTGTCCTTAAACACACGCAGGTGTTCTCATGGTAACGCTCATCACATGAGAACACGTGTGAATTATTAGCATGGATTAAGTGGAGGCCTGTTTGCTTTGCCACACGTTTAAGTGGAAGAGGTTGAAAGATGTGGTGTGCTTTTTATTCTAACGAGTAAAAAAACAAAGAATTCGTCTCCCGTTTTCAACAGGATTCTGATCTGTTTTAAGATTAACTTGATAAATAAAATTCTATTCAATGTATCTTATATTGTGAGCTGCTTGCTCCAGGGATGCAAAGAGTTGKTTTACTAATTCACACCTTTTCAGGAAGGTTTGCAGTGGCTGATCACATGCAGCACCAGAGGGAGTGTTCATTTCTGTTGGTGAAGGTGCAACACAGGGGCACCCAGCTCATTAAAGAAGGACTAAGGCGGTTGATCAAGATCAGCAGAAACTTGTTAAGAATTACAAACATGTTTAATTTGTTTATTCATGGTCATTGGGTCATGTGAGCATGAACCTGATACCTTGTTCAATTAATTAGGTACAAAAAAATATCTATTTTTTTTTATTGTAACGTTAGCTCACTTCATTATTCAGATCAAATTAAACATCCACACTTGCTATGTTTTACGGTTTAGATTATCAATCAAACGTTATTAGCAGACCCTGCGTCCATATGTACATTTAAAACAATAAGACAATATAAAAGGATAAAAAATAAA